GTATCGGAATCGTCACCTAGCCAATTGTTTTGTTTACTATTGTTGAGCTGTCATTGAAATATAGGAATTTCATTAGACGTTTTCATCAAGTTGATTGCCAATTGTCAAATGATGAGGGCAAGGTTACCTACACCTAACCTGCACCTGATCTACACCGAACCTGCAGCGAATAGTTGGACGGTAAAGTGAATTATTGCAGCCAGGATAGTTTTACGACTTTCAGGGTACTGGCGCTAGTCATCTTTGGAAGGCGCAGACCAATGTTCCGTGTATTTGTCAAGGTCGTGTCGCATCTGTTCATTCTGGCCCTGTGGAATCCAAGTCGGAAGAAGTCGGGGATGCTCGGTTGTTTCGTAGCTGTCATTTCATTCTGGGCGAATCACAAGTCAGTATTTTAGTCACATGTAGGGCGCTTAAAGCCATCCTGTATTTCCTCTAGTGCGCAGAGTTTGCATATGAGTTGTATCCTGTTTTTTATTGTTAGTTTTTGGGATGTAAAGTTCTGAAAAGGCGCAGGAGGCTATCCCTCCCAAAGTGTCGAGACGCCACTTCGACATTCATCCTCGGCAAGATGGGCATCGCCCATTATTTTGTGGTGAACCTTTCCAAAAGTGAGGCCTTTCCTTCTTGGGGTAAGTTTTTGAACCTTTCAAAATCAAGTGCTTCCTTCCACCTATTTGGTTGACTAGTTTCTATTTGTGATCTATTCCTATAGATCTGTGGGCCTCCTTGGTAACCTCTGTCGTCCACGCGGCCATTTTGTGCTCACGCCTAAAAGACTCCATATCTGGGACTGAAGACGTTTTGAGGGGTCCACGGACTCCGCTGGTCTACAAAACCCCGCAGGATCCCGATACTTCTCTGGCTCGTTTGCCTCTTCAGGCATCGCAGGCTCGTCAGGCATCGCAGGCTCGTCAGGCAGCGCAGGCTCGTCAGGCATCGCAGGCTCTTTCATCTCTGCAGGCCTTCCAGGCCCTTTCGTCTCTGCAGGCACCCCAGGCTCTGCAGGCTCTCCAACCGGCGCTGGCTCATCAGGCTTCCCTGCCTCTTCTGACTGCACAGGATTGTCAGGCTTCTCTGCCTCTTCAGTCTGCACAGGATCTTCAGGCTGCCCTGTCCCTTCAGTCTGCGCAGGATCTTCAGGCTGCCCTGTCCCTTCAGTCTCCACAGGCTTATCTGTCTGTACTGAGTCATCAGACTTTGCTGTGTCACCAGGCTTCGCAGTATCATCACCTGGAAGCTGCTTCTTGCTGGCTGGGACCTGGACCGCACATGCTAGACTTCATCAGAAGGGGGCCATCTTTCTTCTGGGGACTGGCCATTGAAGAGTCTGGCCAAACAGGCTAAAAACACCATCGGGATGCCACCCTGCTAGTGGCCCTACTAGCTGTGGTTTGAGTAAGAAAGCCACCCAAAAATTTAAGTCAATACTTACCATGGAATTTACCATTATTTTCTCTTGAGGATGTCTCAATGTCTAGTATTTTTTCACCATTATTTCTTTATGATATTTAATAGGTTGCTATATGCCCATTTTATGATTTAAGCATAATAATAATATGTGCATCCGGTTTATAGTACTATAAAAGGGATTTTCAGGGTTTAAAAATACACAGGTCATACCTAGTAACTTTTACTGAGAATATTTTTGAAAACTATCATATTACTTAGACAGCAATCTACCTTGTAGGTATTAAAAAACTGAATTTGATCCTCATTAAACAATATCTGAGTTCACACAGTGTTTTTTCTTCTATTTCTCTTTCAGGAAGCTAGACTGAATTTTATTATAACTTTCTTGGTTTTGTCTATATCAAATCAAGTGGCGCCCTCTGTCACTCAATAGTCTGAATTCACTACCATTGCTCGCCAGACGAAAAGCTGCTGTGCCTTGTAAGCTCTTATGAATTTTTTTATTCGAACTTCACAATATTTTTCCAAATTTCATAAGTTTGCTACAAAAGAAAAAAAAAAACATTTTCGAAAGCTCGTCAAAAAACAAAGAAGTCTCTTACTGATTGGTCACATTCGATTGCTTACCAAGAAAATGTATATGTGTATAGTGAATACAGTGTGTTTCATTAATAATTGAAAATATTTGAATTATTTAATTGAACATATTTTGACTATAAAATCTTGAGCTCAAAATATTAAGATGTAACCCAAATCACATAGATAGAATGTGTCTCCTGTCTGAGTAACAGCCAACAGGGTGTTTTATTAGTTACTATATTCGAAAAATTTTATATTACGTTATTATGTTTTTTTTTGTAAGTGAGTTAATGTTGTGAATCATCTATATAGGGTGTTGAAAACTTATAGTATATTGGCGGCTCTTTTTTCAAGAAAGTTTATATTTATACGAGTATTTATATAACTTACCTGTATAATGAATATACGTGTCTTTTACAGAAAAAAATATTTTTGCCATCACAGAGCTCATTCAAAAAGCGAACCAACATTAACAAGAAATCAAAAAATTGCGAATGTAAGGCTGAAATTACAATAGTGGTTAGGAAAACTACAAAAAATACAATCGCAAAGCATCTACATGTTGAGTTGAGGATAAGACTGAGAATAGAGATGTAATCGGATTATTTTTTATATATTGTTGCTCTAAGTTTTCGGTTGATAATGAAATAATGTGGTCAAACCTGTATATTTTGGCATTTTGACATTCCTCCTGATAAAACGATTTCAACAAACGATTACAATTATTGTGGTCTCTATTTATAACGATTAATTTGAGAACTACAGGTACGTCAATATCCTTTGTCCCAAAGTTCTTTGACTACGCTCTTCAATAAAATATGAATGATTAAAATAATTTTGCCTTGTTTTAATCATCACAATGAATATGGGATTGCCCACATAAACATTGACACCCTAAACTCAAATAATTTGGCAATTGCTCGTTTCAGACGTTTGTAGTGATCGCCGTGGGACAAAAGATATTGAAGTACCTGGTATAGTTCTTGAATTAATCGTTTTAGGCTAGAAGTGTGATAGATTGTTAGAATTGTTTCATCGAGAGGAACATATAGTAATTCCAAAATAAACAGGTTGTCCAATTAATAATTTTGAATCTGATGTCACGTGACCGAAAACGTAAAGCTCATTGGGTAATATAATATTCAACCACAAAATTACAATCTTCTACTACTCTTGAGTTTCGAGATATTCTCTGTCTTAATTGTCGTGGGACACTCTGTACATTTATGTTTTTAGAACGTACTATCGATGTGTGAATGTGCTGAGTATTTTCGATTTTGTATTATCATTATTATAATAAATCCTTGAAATCCCATGCAGTTATTGCAGTTTCAATTTAATGCCATAACGTATGTACAAGGCGCTGACGCGACTCCTACAATATGTACTGTTATCTGGCATACACATGCATTTTCAATTCACGCGCAAAACGTACATGACTCTGACTTCACAATGGCAGAACGTACTGTTATTTGGCATCAACCAATCAGAAAGCGTAGATACAGGCCGTTTGCCAAATAGATGTACGTTTTGCTTATATGCTACCGGGATTGACAGAGTTACTTCAAACGATTCAATGGGTGTGTCAGCACACTCATTGAGCAATAAAAATTTCGAACGCGAATATTTTCGTAGTCGTTTTTTTCAATTCCTCAATCCTACACCCCGGACAAATTTGAATCTCATACCTAATGAATTCGTTGAAACCCATTGGGAATATAAATCTTCTTCACATAAGAGTAATGTTGAAAATACGTCTGTAGGTAAATTTTCACCACCATATGCCATTTTGCTTTTCACATCGCTAATTCACCTCCGAAAGTGATAAATAAACTATCGAAATAAGTTCTTGGTACCTCTTCCTAACACGTGTTGGTGAAATGAGTCGCAGAGATCATTTATTACATTTTCCAATAATGGTATACATAATATGTATAATGATCTCCAGTAAACAGTTCCTTCTTTATTCTCCCATGATTTTTAGTTTCAGATCAATCTGTGAATCAGAAGCAGCAGATACGGCTGTTTTATACTACAAAAAATATCAATCACAATGTTATCTTCTTTCCTCCAATGCAGTAAAAATAAATTGTCATTCACTGCGTCAGATCCTGTTTTTGGATCCATTGTTGGTTTTTTAAATAAGCGGCTCAAGCAGAGGATGAAGTAATTTTCGATATATCATGGTACACAAGGCTATAATGAAATCTGTCGTACATAGTGTTGATGAGAATACTCGCACTTTTCGAAGAAAAATTATGGGCACTCCGGAGTGGTCAGGTTACCAGAGCTCAGTGGCGAGATTAATCTGTTGAACTCAATTTCTCGAGGGAGAGGGAGGGAATTGCTTCTGGTGCCCTTCCCCTGGATCCGCCGCTGGTCCAATGAATAATCCAAGTTTTCAACCTCGAGCCCCGAACGCAACCATCTCAAATATTAAAAAAAGTCGAAAATTTTGGACCTCACTTTACTTATGAGCTTGTATTTTGATAAGATTTGGTCACTACTTTCCAATTGCACCCTTTGAAAAAAGTATTCCAAGATTAGCTAGAATCTGTTTATAATAAATTATTATTATTCGTAAAAAGTAAAAATGTCCCTCAGAAATATCCGCTATAATTCCATCACTAGCAATACCAGTCAGACGAACTCGAAAGGCCCAGTCAGTACATCCCTTCGTCGTTGACCTTGAAAAATGTCGAACAACACTACCAAAACTCGTTCGCCTATTGAACGGCGAAGCTTTGGAATTCTTTGCCAATGGAAGTATTCCCAAGAACTTACTACCTACAAAAGTTCCTAAAAAATTATAACACCTACCTCCTCTCCTTATCCTCCCTAGGTACGCACGATGTTCCACGAACATTATTGGAATTTTCTTTCGTGCGCTCCAATAGATAAAAAAAACGGGTCATGGAATTCGTATGTGCGTCTTTCATGATACTTTAGTGTTTATACATTAGTGTTGAGTTGAGAACTGAATATTCAATTTTTTTAATCTATTTCAGAAAATGAAGACATCAGTGAAACCTTCAAAGAACTGGGGTCCAAAAGACCCAATATCCCGTCACAACTGGGTCCAATGGAACAGTAAAGCACAACATGGTGAACGAGATTTTACATTGAAGAGGAAAGGAACAAAGGATTACACCAGATCAATAAAGAAAATAAAGAAAACGCAAAGTGAAGTAACGCCATCCAGTATTGACGGGGTTTACAAAGAATCTAATGGCAAACAGAGTGTGGGGACCAATAATGGGAGTAACATTTACACCGAGTTGTATGATGCAAACGCTAATCGCTCGACACGAAATCAACCACCAATACAACAGTTACAAGTATCTTCGGTTACGGATTCTGTAACTACAACTCCTTCTGTTTCTGTTATCAGTAATGGAAGATTCCAGAATGAGCCTCAAACACAGATAATTACTGTTAATGGGACTATACCTGAAGAATATGGAACTTTCCGAAAGGGTCCTTACATTATTAAAAAAGATAACATGGAACATGTATGTTTCCGGAAATTTAGTGATAACGAGAATGCTACCGAATTATAGTTGTATTTATTATTGAATAATTATTTTTATTATTATTAAATTGTCGGTTTTTCATTACCTATTCTCGTAGATCAAGTAGTCATTTCTCTAGTTTTGTCCGCTCTTTGTTTGACACTTCTCAGTGAGGGAAATTGTCAGCAAAATTTGTGAGCTACAGGGTTTTATTCTTATTGATCTTGAAATTGCCATATTCATATTTAAAGAAATGCATATTTCACGTCCTCGATTAACAAACAGACAGAATTTGATAAGTGATTTTTGGTTTTTATTAATTTGCCTCATTGAACATAAAGCACAGCTTTTTTGCCTGAACACCCATCAACTTCGTTTTCAAGAAGAGTCAAGGAATAAATTGAAAAAAGTATTCCCCATGTTTCCTCAACATGAGTTATTGGTCGGAACTTTGAACAAAAAAATACATAGTCTCATTTCAAAAAATGTCCACTTCTATTTCCGACTGAACGAGGGTCACTATGTATATAGGGTGTCCGGAAAGGTCATGTCGTAAATGGTGGGGCTGATAAAGTGAGTCAAAATAATGCTATTACGTCATATGAAAAAAATGTCTATTGCACTTTGTTATGGAGGTATTGACCTTGCAAGTTCCTGCAAGTCCATTCAGAGGTGCATATCTGCGTACTCATAATTACTAAACTCATCCATGGTGTTAACAAAGTTTTGAATACCGTCAATTTCATGTCAATTATGACAATGACTGGAACTACCATGATGATATTGAATAGATAGTTTTTATTACCTTTGAAACGGTTGGGATGTACATTTTTAAAATGCGATTATCTCGAGAACGGTATGAGATATCGAATAAAATAAAATATACTATTTCGTAGAAAAATATGAAGGAATCAAATGGTGGAAGCAAAATGTGAAATTTGTCACATCAGTCAAAAATGTCCCCATTAAACGAAAAAAAAAACATCGCCCCATCCTGTATAGAACATAATCACTGAACAGCCGTTTACATATCGAAAGGAGCATTAGCATGAGTTAATTTAGTTGCCCGAATATCATTGATACCATGGCAACCGTTTACAAGTTATACATGAAATAATTTTTTTTACATGAAGTACTGACGTTATTTTGTCACTATATCAGCCCTATCATTTACGACATGACCTTTACGGACACCCAGTATTTTCGATATGGCTCAAGGAATGCGTCTGAGAAAAAATACAATCTACTAACCCAAGGTATTTATTTATATACATAAACTGAGTAGATTCATTACGAGGAATAATTCATAAACGCAATAGTGTTCATGACTAGAGATATTTTATTAATGGAATACGAATTATTGACGTTCTGAACGGGAGTCACTATGTATATTTTCGATATGGCTTAAGGAATGCGACTGAGAAAAAATACAATCGACCTGTCCGAGGTATTTAATCATACATAAACTGAGTAGTTTCATCACCAGGAATAATTCCTAAACACAATACTGATAGTCCAGAAAAAGACGTAATGCTAGCACGGTTAGCTGTAACAGTGTAATCAAAAACTTACTCTCGGTTGTTAATTCGATCCAGAGAAGTCACGTGACATAAAACTCGGATCACCTTTTCGTGTTCAACGTTTACGAATGGGTCAGGTTAGGAACACAGCATTCAATCTTTTTTACCTACGGCAACTATAGAAAGTAGGCAAGAATACACGAGAAACAGCCTCAGTAAGTAGCTATTTACGCACAGTGAGCACATCGCACAGTTTTCGTTTATTCCGCCAGTATAGGTATGTCATGATCGCGTAATCGAGAAATATAATTCAGACTGTTTGTCCAAACTTTTCTGATGTACTATATGGCAGTGGTTGAAGTATAGTACGTAATGCGTGTTGCAAACTTTTGCATTACGTAATATACTATTCTGTGGTTTTGTGAATTTGATAAGACGAAAATGTTCACATTATACTCAAGTACCTATTTGATATGGTTACAATATATATTCATATTTTCCTGGTGATTGGTGAACTTGTCTCATGTCTTGCCACACATTACTTTCTTGGCTCATGAAACCACAAACTTCACACCTACACTAATTCTCTTCTCTATGCTAAATCAAATTATGGAGATTAAAATAGTATATTCCATTACGAGTCTGGAAAAATCATTTCTGGACACTTCGTTGAAAATGAAAATATAATAATGAAATATTACATAGAAGACATAAAAAAAACTTGGAACTACTAGACCAAGATTTTACTGGTAATAAATTCGCGGTCGCTTGTGCCGCTTGCTCTAGGATATCATCGGAAATTCCGGGAATTTTCTTCCGAGTTCATGTTGTCGGCATACATTTGATTGGCAGAGAATAAACAATGCTGATAATAAATACAGTGTTTGGCATGTATGGTTCGTTTCCATGGTTATTCTCAAAGTTTTTCCGTGCGCTGCTAGCCCGAAGCCGTACAATATTACTAATATAAACAAAAATAAGGTGATTTCATAGAAGTATCATAAAAAAGAAAATTTATATCACCGATCAAAATTGTTCCAAACATGAAAACTATTTTATTATTATATTGTTGTCGTGGAGTGGTAGACACCTGCGTTTTTCGATTGACATAAATTTCTAATAAATCGGTAATGCGCATGCGGTGTCCTTTGCGACTCTGGCGATCCTGCTAGTGAGTAAGGTCACAGAAAATCAACCCAAGTTAGTGATCGAGTTGGCAACACTCAAGTTTCCGATCAGAGGTAGTTGACTCGGTTTAGGTAACCGAACATTCAAGTTAGGGATCGGATCAACCCGAAAAAGTTTCCGAAAACGCCTAATGTTTGTCTATGTCGCCAGTCAAGAGTAGGACTTTTGGATAGGTAAATAATAAATCGAGATCAGTGCGATGTTGTCAGATACAATTAAGTATACAATTTGGTTGTTTCAAATCATTGAAGTCATGAAAAAAACATGAATGTCGAGGTTGTAGGAAAAAAGGAAATAGTCATAGTGCGTTCTTCTTTCGACTGTCCTGATTTCATTATTTCGTTTAGTTTAATGCTCTTGACAATGGAATTAAATTATCATGACATAATGGTCAGCAACAGCATTCTGTGGTGTCATGGTGGCATAAATAGTTCGTCCATTTCAAACTGTCTCCGGACTGCATGATGCACGGTGAACTAGATAAATACATCATTTTGGAAATGGCTCCCATATAGATGGATAGAAAGTCAAATGGTGTTATCACTTCCTATTGACAGGAGTTTCGAAATCTCTATATCGCCTACTTTGTAGAAATAGCGAGGCGTGCATGGGAGAATCTTGCTAAATTTCCAAAGTTTCAAACCAAATTTATAGGAATCATGACACATTCATTTGAATACACATTTTCACAATTTTTTGTTTAAATTGGAACGGTGCGTCATATTGTCGACTTTCAGTGGTCAATTCATGAACGACACGAAGTTTTAACTCAAGAAAATCCTGAGATAATAGTTTATTTATTCACTTTTGGTACATAAAATGAAACGGATGCTCGGATTTTCAAAACCTCACATTGCAGCAGCCAGGCCATGATAAAGGCACAATACACTCACTCAACTAATAATATAATATCAATACCTGCTTAATAAATTACTAATGCTCTTAATTTATAATATTTCTATTGAAAATTTGAACAAAATCTTGAATATGCCGAAAATATGACACTGACATATGACAAGATCAAGATGTTTCCGCACGGATTATTTGTTGCGCCCTGTGTCTAGATGCTTCTAATCAGCTATTATATTCGTGCATCTCTTCAGGTCCCGGAAGAAGGAAAACACATCCTTGAAACAACTTCCTAACAAGATTCGACACGCAATTTGAAATTTTTGTTCATATCGAGAGCTAGTCTGACGACACAATTGAAGAGTGGGCACACCAGAGGAATTATAAAAATCTCAGCTCCCATATGTAATGGGAACTTCTGCATATAAACTGCTCGATACTCCAAACGTAAAATCGAAAATCAAAATTTCCAATTGCAACAATAACCGATTTCCAATTCCTTTCCAGTACCTGAATCCTCGTTTCATAGGTCAGACAGCCGCGTGGTTGAAGCGTTATTATTCTATCGCGTTTGCTTCCGATCATGGGATCAAATTCCCGATTGCAGACATTTTTCTGATGGCCTAAGAAAGTGTTTGGGATCACACGTTTAAAGGTAAGGCCCCCGTCATTCCTTGCTCGTACAAGTCTCTTGAAGACTTTTGATGGTTGCTCGTAAGGGGGCAACCGAATGACGGATAAGAACAATTTTAGAACAATATTTTTTAGAACAAAATTAGTTATCGAATCCATCGGTATGCCACAGAATGATTTATCACAGGATGATGAATATTACTGTACAATAATATTTCAAAAAGTTCAACGGTTGCCTTCAGAATGCCATTTTTTAAATTTTCTTCTGCTGTCAAAAATGAGTTGTGTTTCTCGAAATGATTTGGAATTTAAGGAATTGTCATATTTCTTGCTGAAAAATGATTTTCAAAGTAGTGAACACTTGGAACACGATTAAGCCAATATGTTTGGGAACAATTAACAAGGAAGGTTTCAGAACAAATGTACTGTACTCCTCTTATTTTTCGAAATTGCAAGATTTCAAAACCTGTTATTTTTGTGAAATACAGAAATTGCGACTTCAAAACAAAATCGACCATTTCAAATACCTTGTAGGTAGGTACTCTTGAATAATATGTCTATCGGTTGGACCTCGTTCATGTTTAGTTGAATAAAACAAGGACTGTTACTTGTATTGAAATATATATTCTTAATATTGGATTTTGGCTTAGATTATGGGATATAAAGGACTGATTCGTAGGTATTTTTTTGTACAGGCTGTCCCATTGTCGATGTCCTTACGGGTTATCTCGATTATTTTTAGAGATAGAGATTTGGGGTTTTCGCGAACATTAGCTATTTTTTGTGAAACTTACGATATCGCGAACGAAATTTTTATAACCTGCTTCGTTTCTGAGATACAGGCGAAATGGAAAATGT